ACCAGTGCTGCCGACTGTACTAGTGCCAAGAACACGTGCAGCATTTGTAGAAGGATTTGTCCATTGAGAGCGGGTTGACACCAGTAACAGTCGCTGCGAGCATGTTTGCATCACCAGCAAAACATGCAGTCAGAGTCACAAGAGTAAGAACCAGGAGCAACAGTCGTGATCACATAGTCGCAGTTATAGCCATCATGAATGATGTATAATAGCCTCCACAATCATTGCATCATGGGGGGGCTGTGACTTCAGAAGCTCTGAGGGGCAGGGCCTTGTTTGCGCGAGCACGGACCTCTACCAGGGTTTCTTACCGTGAGAGCTCTTTGCGTGACATAGTACGCAGACACGTAGAAATTTCGATAGACCCTTGGGTTGATGTATGGAGGGAGGGAGGGATGGATGGATTCGTAGATAGAAGTGTGCACACAAACTAGCCGGCACGAATGGATAAGTAAGTCTAGTGTACGCACATATACATATATGTGTGTAAGTATGTATGTATGTGTATACATATATAAGTATCTGGTGACCAGCGAGGCACGCAACATCACCGACCCTGACTGTGGTAGAGTCGAAACAGCTCCCTGGCTGGCCATCCTGGGAGCCACTGGTTGGGTGGCAGTGATAGGTGGGCCTGTGGTTCCCTTCTACAAATATCTTGGCCTGGACTTCATGAAGAAGCTTCGCGTCCTGCCGAAGCAGCTGCGAACTTTCGATGCTCTGAAGTTTGGAGTCTTTCTGGGGAGCAGCGTCATGCAAGAGACTTGGGTGGATCAAGCTGACCCGCGGAGCAGGGCTGCCATCTTCTGCGACCCACCGCTCTGGGAAAAGCTGACAGAGTTGTATGGAGACTCCGAAGACTGGGAAGACAAGGATATGGGGATCGAAAGAGCGATTGAGCAGTTCAGCCACCAGGTGCGCAGGTACCTCGCCGACGTTATCCTTGAGATGATGTCGGGCCGCTATGTTCTGTGGCAAAACATATGCCTGTCGATCGGCATGAGTCTTGTCCAGTAAGACCAAGCAAACGTTTCGGCCCGGAGTATGGACAGTGCGGAGCCCCATGCTCGAGCTTGACCCCAGTGTACGGCTTTGGATTGTGTGCAACGCAGGGTCCTTGCAACGAAGGCTGTCAGTTTTCACAATGCTTCCAAAGATGCGTCTGAGAAGGCGATCCTTGCGATAGTCGGTAGTGTCTTGAAATCGCATTCTTTTGTTGATGAAAAGAAGTCTTCCATTGCTTCCGTGCCAGATTGGGAGACCGAGGAACTGTCCGGTCTGCACCTATCTCCTGGGCGACATGGGCTTCTCCCCGTACTCGATGGAAGGTCGGAGCCCCGACCCGCCTTGTTCCTCTCTTTGCTGGCAGATTTGACAACAAAAGTTCTATTGTCGAAGAACAAGCTGTTAGCATGGAGCGTGGCGGGACCTGATTTGAGGTTTTCGGGCAGCACCTTCAGACACACAGCTCTGCTAAGCAGGCATGCATCCGAAGGCAGAGGCAGCGTTGCTAGGCCGACCAAGGGCCAACTGTTTCTTCGGCCGTGTTGTCCGATTCAGGTGCGATCTCAGACCCCAAACTCCCAAACCCTTCAATTGGGGGGCCCCATGAGCTAGCAAGGTTCTACTACTGTAGGAAAGAGATGCCCTAAACCCCAAACGCCCCATCATGTGTTCGGCACGCAGGCTGGGCCCTGCATTCCTGGAGAGCGCGAGATTGCACCAGCTCTTATCACATCTTCCTGCAAACATACGCAGCAGTGCAGTTGTTCTCGAAGCTTGGATGACCTTAGAATCCGAACGCGGTTGATATTCGCCTCAAATATGTTAGTGGCACAGACTATGTCACGATATTGCCAGTTTCCCTTGTGGCAATACGCATTCAAAACGACGATGACAAACATCCCGTAACGCCATGGTACAGTCATCTCTGTTGCTATGTGGCATCACTCAGACCTTTGAGGTGTTTGAAGTTGTAGCCCTCTTACGACTCCTAGACATCGGCCTTACCCTCGTCATCACCAATAGCACCGTCATCCTCGCCATCGTCGCATCATTCTCACCACCGTCATCACTATCATCACCAGCACCACCATAATCGTTATCACCATGTCGAGCTGTAATTGCCACATTGCCGGCATCGCCACCGTCGTTAATGTGGTATTATTTTCGTTGTCATAGCCGTTATCATTCTCATCACCACCACCACCACCACCACCACCACATCCACCAGCATTCGAAGTAGCCCTTGTTGCCGTCCGTGTCGCCATTAAAATCATGGCAGGCACTGAGCTTACAATATCGGACACTGCCGGAGGTTCAGCAGTGCTAGTTGTGTGCAAAGTCTACATTACGTGGGGGTCTAGCCTGGTGTTTGTGGGTTTGCCACCAAGGACATTGTGGACTCTTGGGGCGATATATCTCAAAGACCATCATCGGTTCATGGCTGCTTCGGTGTTGACTCCCATCCTGATCGTCCTGGCAGTGGGTTTGTTCTACTACCCGTTCCAACTGGGTTTGGAACTCTTCTACCCTACAGCTGAAGCATGTCACAGGTATACAGAAAATATGTAGGGACGCAGCACTGGAAACGTTTCAGGTTCGTTCTTCGGAGCAATCATGGCGGCTTTAACCAAATACGCCCTCCCACCACCCCAACTGTCGTTTCAGGCATTAGTATTGGCAGCACCGTACGTCGGTCATCATTAGGTGATAAGTATTCTTACTCCACCAGAACCTCCAGTGATGAGTAGCGTGCAGGTAAAACCCTGAATCTACCAGGACACCTCCGTCCTGCTGCGGCTGTTGGTGCGACTGGGCCTCCTGGCATTCCCTCTCACAGCCGTGTGTACATGTCTCGAACCTGATATTGGAAGCATGATACTCTACTCTGCCCACAATATAAACACGTAAATGCAGAAATAGACATCTACAACAAGAACTACGCATATACCTCATACAAGTATGGTAAGTTGCACACAGCATGTTCATGTATCGCAGCATGACCCAAGCCAAGGATCGCAAGATGTGGACTTTCTTCACCTTGCACTTGGAACTCTCGCGGAGGTAGCCGAAGCCTTGTAACCCCTGCCTCCACACCGTGCAGCCTTTCGATGTCAGAGTCTACTTGATGTTGGCCTCGTGGGCTATGCTACTCTTACAATAGGCCAAAAAAGAAGTTCTGTGCCGCGATGCAGTGTATGTCTTTACTCTGACCACAGCCTGTGCTTTCTCGCTTCCCGCTTGATCACATAGTGGCAGTCGTGACCAGCAGGACCTCAAGCAATCGCCGTGCCACTGCCGTGAGCCGTGTGAGACGGCAGTTTCGTAGATGCAGCCCACTAGGTCACCAGGGTCAAGTCTTCAGAACGGAGGACATACGCGTGCATGTATGTACATTGTGCGTGCATGTTGTATTCATGTGCGTATGTATGCATGTGTGTATGTATGTACACAGTTGTGCCTGCATACATATCATATATCTGCCTGAGAAGCAGCCATAATCTGAGTTGGTGTAGTAGGTTTTGCTGTCAGGCACTTTGTTGATGTTGTCAACGTATTTGCGTCAGTTGTCGGCGGCGACCTTGGGTTGGTTCTGCTACTGCTAGCGCAAAGTAAGTGTTATCACTTTTTGCACCATGGCAGTTGCCCTATATTATAGGGGTTGCTAGCTATCCTTGGGAAGTTGCAGTTTTCCACTAGGGATAACAGTATCACCATGATGTTCTACAGATTTATGATGGCTTTTCAGAACTTCTGCACCACCATGATCAAAATATCATCCTCACCATTTTGGCCATGCCAATGCTCGTGAGTCCTCGCGTGTGTTGCATTGTTGTTGGCCCAGGGAAGAGCCAACTTTTGACAGGCAGTTTCCTCTCTCTGGTCGCAGCGCAGGGGTGGTGTTCAAGAACACCTGACTGTGACTACATGCAATAATATTTGAGAAGCTGCCGGACAGGCCGGCAGCACCGGCAGCGCACTGTGGATCCTCCCTCACCATATATTTCCAGGGTACAGTTGCCAGTGTCAGGAGCCATTACGTGCGCATGGGGTATCCGACAAGCAAAAGGCCTTGTCGGCCGCCGCACAGGTGGGTTTTGATGATGTTGAACCCATCAAAGCATCCCGACGTTTATCCCAAAGCCTGCGATCCAGCAATGGTTCGAGAAGACGTGCAGTGCATCAGAACCCATCCAGGCAGTCAGGCAGCATGGACAGGGGCCGGCCATCGGTACTCGGTTGGCCCTTGTGTTCAGTTCCTTTCATCCGTGCGAGTTTGTGCGACATCAGCCAAAATGTGACGAATCGTTTGCGGTAGGTGCTTGATCGATCTTGTTGAAACCCAAGGCTGGGAAAGGCACGCGAAGCGACCAAGATGTATACTTATGATGTCATGGATCCTCTAGCCTACTTTTACGTGTGCGATCGTGTGTTGGGATTTCCAACCCCCATTGACGAGTATGAAAATAGAACTGCACTTGCTCATCCTACTGGGCGTGTGAAGGTGTTGCTCGTGGATTTGCAGCGCACGTTTCAGGGTTGGCCAAGATCGGTACGGTGCGGCGCTGTTCGGATCTTCTAGATCGTCCCGGTCGTGTCGCTGCAGGTAAAGTGGGTGTTGTAATCATCGTCTTGTTTCACCTCTTTTGCACGGTACCTGAAGCTGTCGCTCTCGACGGCTCCGCGCTGGAACTCGTTGTGATATCCTCGATGATCCAGTCACATGGCTGGTCACATGCCCACAATACGTCCGTTACATGTGACGTGAGGAGTATCTGTACAACTCCCTTCTCGTCAATAGTAAATCTGTGCAAGGCACTCATGATCTTATTCTCTCGAAGACTTTTCTGCTTCAGGAACACTCACTGAACGCCCTCAGGCGTTTCCAGAACGTGATCACCGGGATTAGAACTGGCAATCTGCCCGTAGGCTGTGACAGTATGCATAGTAGGAGTACCCTGTTTGTTGCTTCTTCTTGGAAGTACGCACCAGACGCCATGCTTACGAGCTGCTTCGGGTTCTTACAGCCATTTTGGGTGGGGGCCTCAGACTGCGGAAGACCAGGCAAGGCTGTGGAGGAAAACCTTGTCGTTTGAGGTAGGACCGGCTGAGACTTGTGTCACATGCTCGGCCACGCGTGCTGTGGTGCTGCGGTCCACAAAACCTTGCGTGATTGAAACTCAAGCTGTTCATCTTTGCTCGAATCCTTGCAGGATGGCTTCAACCAGGAGCTGCGGGCACGTTGCCGAGCGGGGTTTGGAGTGCTTAGCCAAGCCGCAGATCCTTAACCGTGCGTGCCAGGAATGGGCTCGCCTGGCAGCCTTGCAAAAGGCCGGAAACCGTCTGGCGATTCGTGGGCTCATGGGATGGGCCTGCCAGCTCGGGCTGCGGTGACGGTATGCGGGTTCCGCCGGAGGAACCCAGGACCCAGAAATCAAACTCGCACTTCATGTAGGATTGAAATAATTGTGCGTGAGCTTGTGCCGCTGCATGGCTACATGGAGGATAGTAGGGCTGAACAGACATTTCTGAGAATTGCGGGCTTCTTCGTGCGATGATCGCACATACGGGTTCCATTGTTGTGCTGGTGCTGACGTCGGATCAGTGCCAGGGTGTCGCACCGTATCGCTCGTGTCAGGGTTTTTCGACATGAAATAAGTTTTATGGCTGCTAGAGCTACGCGGAGGTTACAATCCCTGAATAGCCCCAATCTCGCCAGAAGACCGTCCTTACATCTAGATTAGAATCCCGATGCACAGCAAAAGCCTTTGTTGTTGTGTACTGGTGGGTGTTTTGGGGCTAGTGGCTGCCAACATCCAGCGCGGAGGTGCTTTGTTCATGGTAGAGACTGTCGGACTCGCCAGATAGCCAAGCATTACTCGTATCCAGTTTGCTGACGAGTATGAACAGGATTACTATGGAACGATGGGAGTGCTGTGCATGCTGAAAGAATCAACAGTATCAGAAACAAACAACTGGGACCATGCACTGCAGTCTTGCGGAAGTAATGTGAATCATCTGAATATACCGCGACTATTAGGACGAGGCTCGACAGCAATGCGCTAACTCTCCATTTGCAAAAACCGATGCGTAGTTCTTCGGATGTTTTTTGCGATCAGGTGCGGCATGAGTTCGCGGAATATCGCCGCGACCATGCGACGCTTGTCCAGCTCAAGGACGAATCGTGTTGACAGTCGACTCTAGTCGCATGGAGCCTGAACACTGATTGAAGAATCCCGGCGGAACGGTTCTTTTACCCGGACTCGATTGCAGGACGAGAGCACGCGCCTCATCATTTCTTCTCTCTACGAGCTGAAAGAGCAGAAGGATGGGGATCCCGAGCTGTGCACTGCGTGTGCGGCTTGCAGAGGAACAGAATGTGGCACTTCCTTGCCCTCTCCTTCTTTCTGTCCTGTATGTCTCACTCTCTTCTGAGAAAGGCCGACCAAGTCAAGACAGGACGCATTCCTAGAGGTCGCAGCAGCAGCAGCAGCTTAAGGGGGTCAAAGCTCCTGTTAATGGAGGACCAGGCTCCGTTTCCTCCTACCTCGTCGGCACCTTACACGTCACATCGCTGGAAGCTGATCGTTCCTCTGCCCCGACTCCGTGCCAAAAGAAGTCGGAATGTGTAGAAAAAACTGACGGCTGAGCACTTGTTTTGTTTCGTTTCCGGCGGAAAGCTCCACTTTGAGGTATGATCAAGATGCTGAGTGGCAGTTCACGAAAATGACACCAGCGCAAAAAGAGCAGCTTGGCAGCTTGGAAGAGCCACATGAAGGGTAGATTGCGAGACGAGCTTCAGGTGGTGAGGGCCATTTAAAGGGGCATCAGCACGTGATTCTGAGCTTGTTGATTCCAGGTACTTTTTCCGCGTGCTGCTGGAAAAGCTCAACGGCAGCACGTGCACTATGTCCTTCCCTGTGGGCCCGAAGCTTGTTCTGACTGCGCTCACAGTTGGCTACAGCGCATATTACCTGCCGATTATTGGGTCATGGAATCTGTGCTTCACGAAACGGGTCAGCTCCTGAAGATACAACCGAAAGCTGTTCCTGAGGTTCACAGCCCCCCACCACAGCAAGTGTGCTTGCCATCGACAAGACGGAGCAGGGCATCAAGGAGGCCGCACGCTACCATCCAAGCTTCCTGACATCTGGATTTGCGCACAGAAATCGCGAGTGCTGTCCAACCATTCCAACACCAACAACATCAACGTATGCCTCGACCGCAACGCCAACGATGGCAGCGACAGTAAGGCTGCACGAATCACCACGCCGCCGACCCAAACAGCCGCGACCACTTCCAACTTAAACCATCCCCACACCGACAAATCAGGAAACACCTCACCGCCCAAAGGAACCGCTCAAACCACGTAGCTAACCCGAAACGTCAAAATGCATGACCTTCACGTCCATTCTCGGAGGGAAGGTGGAGCCGTAGCAGCAGGAGCAGCAACCCACCGTGTCACTCATGTCCTCAATAGCCTCGAACCTGCGAACCCGCCAAGACACCGTGGACGCCGCGCCTCAGCAGACCTCTGCGCCACTCCAGCACCGGCGATGGCCCGGGGAAGGGGGAAATTCAAGGGACTGCTTTGAAGGCTTCAGTTCAGGGCCGCAGATGGGGCTTAAATGGACCACTGGCTCTGGGGCCCAGGGTTTAAGGGTTTAGGGTTTAGAGGGCTTAGGAATTTCAAGTTCTCACAACTGCGTCAACGACCATATGATCATCAGCTGAACTCTAACGCTTTCAACTTTGAACCAAAGAAATATCACTTGACAAGAGTCGAAGTTTTGCAACCTTTTCTGGGGGTTAGGGTTGCGAGTGACGCCTTCTTCGTGATTGGTGTTATTCGACATGTTTCTTCCCAGACCTTGTGGCTTCCGCCTTAAACCAAAATCCTTAAGCTCGCATAAACACTAAGAAGCCCTGTAACGCCCTCTGTAAACCTTATTGAAAAAACCCTGCTATCGAATGTTTGGAAGTGCATGTTCTCAGTCTGCTGCGAAGTCAGCTGCAGTAGTATAGGCGCTGGAGAAGCACTTGGCAACGAGGAGGACGAGGCACCTTTCGGAAGCGGATGGGTTCCCAGACCTTGAACGGGCCCAGACCCTTCTAGGCCAGCACTGAGATCCGAACTGCTTTTATGGGGCTACATACAAAATCGTAGCAGCCCCAAGCCTAGTGACCCCCTTAATTAAGGGCTCCATTGAAGGTATTTGGGGGTTGCTGGAATTTCCGTTATTGGCAGGGTGGGTCACTGGGGAGTGGTATTGAGGGCAACGAGGGAGCCTATCCGCTGAGCTTTCGGATTTACAGGAAGCCGTAAAGGAACTTCAAAGGAGCTATACAGCCCCACAGGACTCTTTACTCGATAAGCGTCCTGGAACACCCGCAAAGGAACCCTTAAAGGAGCAGTAAAGTCCCAATAGGATGTGGGGTTTTGGGGTTTAGGGTTTAGCTTAAGCTTTTGAGTTTTGGGTTTACGGTTAAAAAGTATAAGGCTTCGAGTCGACAAGGGCTTTGAGGATATGCGGTGTATGTTCTGCTTTGGGCTCAGGGCCTGCATTTAGGCGAGGTTTAGGGTTGGGTGTAGAGTTTAAAGTACAGGTTAGTTCAGGTTAAATCAAAACAGGAGCTCGCGCTACGTTCGAAGGGCTTTGCGTGTGAGCCTGGCCGCCCCCCAGCACCACCCCACCATCCAGTGGCAGCTCAACAGCCGCCCTTTCCGCACACGCCAGCCCCCCCCCCCCAGACCATACCGTTGGGCGGTTCGGCCCCTTCCCCCCCCCAAAGGCTCCTCCTCCCGCGCCTGTGGTGTTGTGCGGTTGTGGGTTGCTTCTCCCTCCCTGTGGTGGGTGTGGTGTGGTTCGGGAGTGGGTCTGCTTAGGCTGGTTCCCCCCCCTTCTGTGGTGTAGTGTGGGTTTGGGTTCCTGCGTGGGTCTGCTTGGCGTGTGAGCCCTCGTGTGGAAAAAGCGTGCACAGTCACACAGATTCGGCTTGGGGAGCGTGGGGGGGTCGGTGAACCGAGAGCCGGGATCATATATGCTCTCGGGTCCCGGGCCGCCACCCCCCCCCCCCATGGTATCCCCCCCCCCGTCTGCTGGCCTGCTGCTGGTGCCCGCCCGCCCTGCGCCCCGGCCCGCCCCCGGCCCGCACCTTGCCAGCTCCTGGGCCTTGTGCGCGGATCGGGAGTGTCGCACTATGCCCTGCCGTGTGCGGAAAGCGGCAAGCGGCTCAGTAGTTTCCAGCATCTGACATGAATGGCAATGCTGAATTATGAGGGTTGCATGGCGATGGTGATGGTGGCAGATATTCGAGGAAGGTATTAATGATGAAGATGACGGCGACAAGGATGATGTTGAGCATGGTCTGATTGTCGACTCATGTCCCGGTCTAGAGCAGCACAACATCATGAGCAGTATCACCGGTGCCACAGCAAGAGGGAAGACAAGGAGTAACACATAAGAACATCGCGGCAAAAAGAGTACCACCACAGGCCCCACACCACAGGGGGGGCGGGGGGGAAGGGGGGAGGATACCATGGGGTGGGGGGGGGAGGGGGGGTGTGGCAGCCTTGCATCATATATACCCTATCTTTTTCGGCACATTTTAGAATAGAAGGTTTGATTAATACTGTGTTTGGTTTTGGCGGGATTCATAAGGGTCTTATGCTGCTGTTGGGATTAGAGTAAGCCCAGGAAGCTTTGTGGTTTAGGAGTCGTGAAGCTCATGCTGGGCGTGCTTGGGCCAGTTTAGGTTCAAAATTTGGGGTTTCAGGATTCAGGTACCCCTAATTAGGCCCCCACAGCTCGAACGCCTGAACCCTGACGACTTTCTTCAAGCTTGGTTAAGCTTAGTTAGGCCCCCCTCCATAGGGTTTTAGGGTTTAGGGCTTTATGGACCGCCGGTTGCCGAGAGTTGTTTTTTTGTTCAGGCTTGGGCGGTTGCAGTTACAGGCTGACAAGGTGTGTCAAGTTTATGACGATGTACGGTTCGAGTCAAGCTTGTAGCCGTTTAGTTTAGTATCAGGGGTTTCGACAGAGTCTGTTATTGTCCTTACATAATTGCAGTATGATTCTGCCCCACATGATTGCAGCATGCTATACCTAGACCCTATAAAACCTTCCATTTAGGGTTCCCTATTATGATTTGCTGACATGTCCATAAAAAGGCAGGTTATTTGTGGCTAAGGTAGCCCCAAAGCCATGTTCCAATTATTCGGCCTCTCTGTATTACCTTAACCGCCTTAACCCCAATAACCTACCTGTTTTTTAAGGACTCATACAAGGGAACCATAATAAGGAGCCCTAAGAGCGTAGGTTATTTGGGGTCCAGGTAGAAACCCCCAAAACCCTAAACACTAAGCCTGTGTATAAGCACACAAGGCAGCGAATTCGCCTCCGGGTGCCTCGGCCGTCGCCTGGATCGATGCGGCACCTGCCGAGGGCGCGAAAGTGGAGGCCAGCTTTTCTTAGGGACGCAAAAAGACATAAGCGCAAGCATGTCATGGGGACATCCCTACATTATTGGGCTTCATTATAAGCCGGTTTATGTGAGATATCCCAATCCTTGCTTTGCTTACGTGGATTTTTGGGGCCCTATACCTACGTAAGCCTCCGAAAGTAGGTAGCATAATGGCTTAACACCTATAAAGGGTTATCGTTCTATAGACTTTTGGGGTGCAGGTGGATCTTTACGGGGTTGGCTTGCCCCGAAACTGTGTCACCGGGGATGGGACCGACGAAGTCCTGCCCAAAAGGGCCTAAGTGCCTTAATGAGGGATGCTTACACCAACCATAGTTTGTAGTCGCACTATGGAGGTACTGAGGATGCTTTGGTTCTGAGTCCATACATTAAGGGTTTTGTGTAGGGCTTCAAGGGTTTCGAGTTGTGATGTGAGAAGAAGAGCAGACCGAACCGCATGGCCAGACGACAAGCGGGCCCACAAAAAAAGCATCTGTAGCAAAGCAGGCTCGCACGTACCCTAAGGGTCCACCTACCGAGTAATCACATGGACATATGTTCTCGAAAGTTCTAGCCTACGACACTACCATCTGAAGCCCAAGTACCTAACCACCCGTTGTTTGGGGGGATAGTGGTAAAGAAATTGATGGACCATGGGACTTAGTAAGTAAGTTACAAGCAGGTTGAGGAAGCATTTACAAGTGCATTTGCCAAAAGAACACGCTTTGCTAAGTCCCATGCTGCTTGAAGTCAAGAGTGTTGTCTCAGGGAAAGAAGGATGTGCCTTCGATTTCGGACTCAAGGCTCGGAGGTAGCATAGAGATGGGGGCTTAGTATAATTGTACGTTTAGAACAAGAACTTGTGTATATGCGTATTTTATGGATATTAACTCAGGGGCTGAGATATACTATTGGTGATACTATTACTCATCATGCCCACCTCTCTATACTAGACTTGCGAATGTGAATAACATAATTACAGCAAGCATGTAGGCTGTCCTCTTCATCCCTACAGGGTGGTTGTTCAAGTTGCCGCCGCTTGTATACCAGGATCTCATCGAGCTGAGTTGTATGTTTCCAATCGTGCGCCCGTACGCACATAATCATGAACATCGAAAAACCCTGAAACCATAGAATCCTGAATGAAAACCCCAACTCAAGCCCTAAACGCGACACCTCAAGTCACCCAACCTCTCTTCGACCTTACAAGCTGTAAGTACGAGCCGCAGATCCTGTCCGAAACCATGCAAACCTGAATCTCGGATGCCCAAGGCCCCGTCAAGCCTTGAATTGTCGTCTTAGGGTCTAGAATACTACTGGTTGAAGGTTCCCGACCACCCGAATAGTCAGTGCGTTACTACGGGCCGTCGAACGCCGATGCTCCCAGCTGAGAGGATACAGAACGGCCCGCTAAAGCAAAGATTGAAAGCGCTTTGGCCAAGTTGGGAAGTGCCGCGGCTGCAGGAGATCCCGGACGTGTCCATTGAACAGCACCTCGAGCAGGTCGCGCATGTGCCGAAGGCTTGTTGAGCAAAGCAGGGTTTTGTTTGAGCACCATGTTCCACCCGCCAAGATGAGAAGGATGTTCGTGCTTCGTGGAGCCTTCGCCTGAAAAAGGTATCGATAGGGCGTCTGTTTTTGTAAGTCTGTTTTGTGGTTGATTGGGCACTTCAGTCAGTGGGGTTGGCTGTTTGGTTGGATGGTTTGCCAGTCGCTTGGTTGCTGGTTATTTCAAACTTCGTTTATGATGATGAAGAACACGCATCGAAAATGACAACAACCATGATGGCAAGTGTGGTGATGGTCGCTGTGCTGATGAGGACGACAACGCCGATGATGATGCTGCTTTTTGGTTATTGTTGTTGCTGCTGTTGTTGCTACTTGTATTGCCACTAGCAGAAAGGATCCTCTCCGGAATCATGACGATGCTGTTGACTGTACATGGTGGCAAGGACGATGGGAAGAAGTACAGCGAACAACGGCAATGATTTTCGTTTTGCCGATCATCTCCTCCTTCCTCTTCCCCTTATTTACAAATGCTTCATTGTGGTCTTAGCTGCCAGGTCCAGGAGGTCGAAAAGACAGCCCGCAATCCTGTTGACCTGGAGGCATTGCATGGACGTGGCGTTGGGTTTTGAGCTGTGGGACTTGAGCTGCAGCGATTTCGGGCTTGGGCTCTGCGAAATCTGCCTCAAGCCCAGCTCCGCAAGTGTGTCAGAACATGACCAAAATCCTTCATGAACCTTTGCATCAAGACGAGTTTCCAGGTTGAAAGATGCGAGGGTCGTGCCCTAAAGCCATGCTTTACACTTGTCTCTATTGCATAAGACTCGCCATCAGTTGCAAGCTATTGCGCACGATCCGTCACCCTAAGATTGGAATACTTATCACGCCCCCAGAGCCGAAAGGATTCGGATATGGTAAGCCCCAAGCTACAAGAGACGTAATACAAGATAGGTGGCTGACCTGCCGCCCTGCGTTTTGGCACATTCCCAAAACCAAAAAGCATTGTAATTTACGCTATTTTGGGAGGTTAGCGAAGTTAGCCAAGAAACATGACCATATCTCAAAATGTAAGGAAATGTCAGTTTGCGCAGCACATCAGCAAGTTTCACATACTGATAACATGTTCCACCAGCGAGCAGTAGGACAATGATTCGGCATTGTTAAGCAAGCTTGAATATGCATGATCATGCGCACATGCATGCAGACAGACAGGGCCAGACAGAGACAGACAGAAACGGACCAACATCCGCGCCCTATTCCCTGAACCCAAGCATTAGTCCTAAACCCCACACCCGAGATCCGAGGATCCGAAATCACCAACCCTGACCCCGAAACTCAGAGCTTCAAACTCCAAATCATACACGTCGCAAATCTCTCTTATGAAGTGGAGATGCCAACATTTGTGGCTTCGTAGTTCGTGTGATGATTTCTGCGCTATTCTGTGTTTCTAGACTCGCCATACAGAGTGTAGCCAGCGCACACTCTGTTTTCACACTGCGTTCGAGCCCCAGTTCGGCTGCACTCTAGCACCAAAGCGCACGTTATCATGGTTGGCTCTTAGTGGACGTTAGCATGGTTGGCCCGTGGATGCTCACCGAAACGGCGGAAGTCTGCGAAAGAACGGAAACAGCAACAAAGATACGGCGAACAACCCGTAAAAATGCAGTCAACACGGCCCTTCCAGCATACAACGCGCAAAAAAGCGCAAAACCTCGAGTTGTGGAACCGAAAAGAGCAAAATCGCAACGCGAGCAAAATCAGCAAGAAAGCAAAAACTAAACACACAAGCTGAGAGCAAATTTTCACAAACCCGAGGAAAACGCACGCTGCGAAACAAAGCCTCGAAACAGCAAGAACGAAAAGAGGTCAAGAAAGGGTGTCCGGGCGGCGTGTGCAACAACCAATGGTAACATGATACAAATATACTATACTGTAATATTCTATACAGCATATCGTGTTATACTATGTCAGGTATAAGATAGAGTACAAGAAGATATGTTAGAGCAAGTGCGACATCACTTAGCTCCAAATTCCAAGACCCACTCAGCCTTCCTTCAATAACAAGCTTGTTCCCAAGGATGTGAAACTTCATGACGCTCAGAAGTTAAGCGCTGGAACCCGGGACCCCAGGGAAACTTTCAAGCTCCGGGCCTTGGCTTCTAGTCGTCGAAATCTCCCAGAGGCGACCCCGAGCCCTTCAAACGAACCCCGGGGACCGTCAGCTTGAGAATGCCACCGAGAAACTGCCCGGAGGTCGAAGGGCCGCGCCCCGTGGTCGCCGAGAAGGTGATTCAGGCAGAGCATAGCACTTCAGGAACCCTGAATTAGGCTTCACTTGATGAGCTTGGACTCGAGATCTCGGAGTTTGGGTATGACTGCTTGGGGCTCTGGGTTGAAGTAAAGTCTTGATGCCAAGCCTGGTGCGAAAGATCTCCTGAAGTTGAGGCGTGAGGATGGAGCGGGTGTAAGCGAGAACTATAAACTGCTATAAACCCCAAACCCGGATGACCAAACCCGCAAAGCTTGGCCATTAGCCTCAAACTTTGATCCCGCAGCAGCACCGGCCTCATGTTATGTAGCTTCGCTGTGCAAATTCTGCTGACTGTCATCTGTTGAAAGCTCGAGGTCCGAAACGCCCAACTTGTACAACCGGCTGATAACCGAATCCAGGAAATTCAACGGCAAAGAAGCCAGCAGGTCTTGTACGGGCGTTGCACTCGCGTTCTTGCTTGCAGAGTTCCTCGTGATTTCTCGCGCAGCATCATCATTCCTGCTACCCGGAACTCTTGGCGGCCAATGCTCATCAGAAGCTTCATCCAATCACAGCGTTTCCCCCCGCCCCCATCCTCGGCGATATTCCGATGCAGATCTCATGCAAGAAAACCTGCAACCGTCATTCATGCACCCAATTTGGAAACACCGCTGCTGGTTTGGTCCAAAACCTAATAACATAAGCCATAAGGCCAACCTTCCCACCAACTCCTTGGCACGTTGCCAAGGACACTCACACGGTAGTAACACGGAGGGTATCGGCAAGAACAAGCCTTGTCAGGTCGTTTATCCGACGGGCCTCAATGCCGTGCCGACCTCAGCAGTTGCAGTGGTAACTGGTTCTTCTGCGCTGATTCGCATGATGTTGGTATCTGCAGGCTGAGAGAGCTATGCCTAGCTATGCTTATTGTGGGCCCGGCCAGAGCAACCAGCATTTCTGAAATAGTTCAGCTCAAGGGCTATCACACACATCGGGCGCCATTATGATCCGTTCCTCTGAGCATACTTTCTATCGAGATGTTGCAGGGGCCCCTCCGCCTCAAGCAGGTTTCTGGCAGTGTACAGCACTTTGGGATTTCGACCGATGGTTGCACCCTCTCCCGAACACCCTTCTTAATCAGCACACGAACACAAGGCCGGGATCGCTTTCAATATCGCTTGCACCACTCGATGCCTATACCAGGTTGCGCTGCCACGGCCCAGCGGCTCCTCGGATCAGAATGAGACGTCGAAGTAGGAGAGTCTCATAGGGGTTTGAAGGGAAGGCTTCAAGGTGGGTGAATGTTTCCGCTTTGCCAGGCTTTCGAAGGCCCGTGAACAAGGTACTGTAGATCCTCTTCCCACGGCTTTGAGGGTGATCAAGTGTGGAGCATCATCGACTCACTGCTCTGACGCTCTGAGGACTGTGACCAAATCAGAATTCCATGTCATTTTCTGCAGGCTTGCGGACGCCGCGAGGTCCTGATCCGGCTGTTGCCGGCCCGCGTCGCGCACCTTGGCGCAATCGCAGCTCCGAAATCCTTCATTTGTTTGGCTCGTGGGCATCTGTACCGAAGGGAGGGGCTCTAGGACACAAAGAGGGGAACGACCCTGATCACACCCCAGACATCCAATCAGGCGCGATAACCGAATATCCGATCATCTTCGGAAAGGAGCGCCGATCTCTGCTAGATCTCAAGAACCGGCAGCAAGGATTCGCAGACTTTCCAAGTGACTAGCAAAACCCTGACAAGATCCCCCAAGTCCCCGTGCAGGGACCTGAACCACCACATCCGGAGCTGCAAGCCCGAATCCGGAAAGACCTCAACGTGTCAGACCGACGAAGAAGAAGAGCAATACTGATCATCGTAGTACTGGCAGCCATGTTCAGCGTATTCTTCCCCACCGTTCGCTATTTAAGGCACAGAAAATGTAGCAACTTCCCACACCTTAACTCTTGCAGGTAGTCTGGGCCGACCTGGCGGCCCACGATTCGGATGAGGAGGACCAGAGGGTTACATGAGCTTGCATGGTTTTGTGTTTAGCTAGCTCGTCATCAATTCTTGTCCGCTTAGCCTTCGACTCTTAAACCATTCAACTTCCTACACTTGCAACAACCTTTTGCCTTGACTTCAAGCTTAGGGGATAGGCTTTTCCTTGCATATTTCTTAGTTTCTGCTCTTGGGATTGGGGTTTGGGATCTCGGAAACCCTGAAAGCGACCACAAGCTTTCCAGGGTGGTGCGCCACCCGAAGTGGCTTGGCAATGCAAGCAAAGCCTGGCGGTTTACGGCCTACGGTCCGCAGGGGTCATGGTTACAGGGTTCGTATGGAGAGCGTGGGTTGCGGGCTGCAGGCCCAAGCCGTCAATCTATTATGCCTAGTTCTCTGTTGCGCTGGGTCTTAGGGTTTAGAATTAGAAGGCTACAGATATTTACTAGCCACATACGATTCATCCTCGTAACCAATGATTTGCACAGCTGGAGCCCCAGAAACGGGGTTTCAGGGTCCAGGGTTGAGGGCTGAAGAGGGTTGACTAGCAAATATACTTGCATTATGGTGGGCTGATATCACCCTGCTGAACTGTCTGCGGACTGTGATTTTCCAATGTGAAAGAAAGACGGTTCACGAAATACACAGTGGATTTCTGAAACTTGGAAGTTCAATTTTGGGCTGGTAATTGGATGAAAGAATCCTATTTCGCTGGTGTCTTTACGATCGCTGCTGTAGAGGTACACAGCACAGCCTCCCAAACCACAACGCTGCCTTCCATTCGGTCATCCTGAATGACTCTTATGGGCAAACCCATGCGATATATCCCATTAAAACCCATATGTGACTGCTCGCTACCCGAAGTCTAAAGCCGCACCTTGCAAAATTTGAGCTTGGACCCCAAACCCTTAACCCTGAACACTATAACCTCTTGAAGCTAGATTGAGGTCGAGGTACAGGCTCGGAATCCTGACGCCCTAAACCTTGAAGTTTGTTGATTCGGGAAACCGGTGTTGGATTGAGGGACGGTGGTTCCAAAGCAGCTTCCCTCAAATAAAGCCCAAACTGCGCTGATCATAGGGGCCCCTATAGTAGTAAGGGTTCGGCAGGTCCAACCTGGGCTTCCCTTGAAGATGTTTTTTTGAGGTATACCGATGCTAAATGCGACACCACATGCACGAAGTCTGAACCTCTGTTCGTAGAGCAGAATCGCTTCCCTCAGGTCAATATCATCGTGACTTTAGTTCTCCGCTTGTACATATGCATGCTCTTTTGCACAATCCGTGGATGACTGCCACGGGAACCACGCTGTCCGAAAAGGCAAAGATTCCGGAATCCCTCGTAGGGAAATTGGTAAATTTGCTAGGGCTTCTTGTTCTGAATTTGGGCAACGTCCCTTTTACCTTGCACGGCGGGCGGGGTTTTGCCGTCCGTCCGTGCACCCGACCTCTCCGCTGCTCGTTGGGCCTTGTGGGGCTTTCCTAAAGTTGACTCCGAAGTGTCGAGACGCAACCCTTGAATGCAACCCACCCATTTATTGACAGAAAGAGGACATCCCAAATGACAAATGTAGCAATAGTACGAGATGACACAAGGTTCCAAAACTTGAGTCTCAGTCTATCCGCCGCCCTTCCGTAGGTCCATCAACAGCGCGCCGGAGGGAGGTGTTGCAGTCTGCTCATCTTCCAAAGGAAGTCTCCCAGCCACACTTTTCAGTCGCCAAATGGCGAAGATGAAAAATATCGATCCGAACGCTGTTGTTGAAGTGTTTTGCAGGGTGGGCCAATGGATGCTTTCGGCAAGGGATTTGCACGCACAGCTGGCAGCACCTGTAGCGTACAGCTACTTGTTTACCGTACTTCCACAAGCCTTGTAAGTGGAAGTCCTATTCCGGACTGGAGAGCATCCTCTGGACAAGCGGATGTCATATGGTCAATTGTCAGCTGGAGCAGTAGTAGTAGTCGTCGTCGTACCTAGTTCTTGTTGTTGTTGTTGCTAGAGTTGTCGTTGCTGTTGCTGTTGCTGCTGTTGGCATCTTTGGAGTGCTTTTTGCGGCAACCGCCCGCCACGCGTGGAGTCTGGTGGTGCTGGTGGTAGTGGTGGTGGTGGTTATAGCGATGGTGTTGGTGTTGTTGTTGCTTTTGTTGGTGCTGCTGGCGCTGGTCCTGGTGCTTCTGCTGCTGCTGCATCTGCTGTTGTTGTGGTTGTCGTTGTCGTTGTAGTCGCAGCAATCGCCGCCGTCGTAGTAGTGTAGTAGTAGGACGGAGCTAGACCTAGGAGTAGCAGGTAGCAGTAGGAACGTTCACCCACCCTATATGCACAAGACATAACTGGGAAACATATGGCCTACAATCGGCATAACTCTTCTCCGCACGTGCATATCACCTGGGCCATGCTGGAAGAATGGATCCTCAAAGGGGATTCTCTGTCTTTGCATGTGTCGCTACCCTGAGACTCCAAGATCCTTGCAGGGCTTCTTGTCCTTTACCTTGACAGGGCTGCTGATGTTGATTAGACAACATCCCGTAGTGAATGGATCTTGGAGTCGTATTGGGGCAGGGTTTTACTGCCCCTTCCGGTCCCCGAGTTCGAGTTCCACCCATTCAACATTTACGGTTGTTTGAGGTTTTGAGTTGTGACTTGTAGCTGTCTTTGGGTAGAACTCCCGGAGCAGCATTCTTGGGTTGGGATGGTCGACTTGTCCGGAGAGCACGGTTCCGCATGACAAGTCTTCGGGTCTCAGGGCTTTCTGAGCTTAGGGCTTTAGGTTTTAGTGTGAAGTCCCAAACGGTGCCTACCAAAGGAGTGAGTGATAAAGGTCTTTTGGGGTTACGGTCCCGCATGCTGGTGGTCATGGTTCTTTCTGTGCAGGAATGAGAAGAACATTCCCTTCGTTTTTGAGGTGGGCTTTACTACAAAGCCCTCACAAAGGCTCGAGAGGAGCTTAGTTTCTGTCTGTACGGGAGAAGAACACTCCCGTTGGCTCACGGGGGTTTTACCACAAAGCCTCTATTCAGGCGCAATGGGTGCTTCGGCGTGTGTTGCGGCAGATCCAGGAGATGCGTCAGCCTTCTGTCGTAGGTGCGTCCTCCGGCCGGTGCACTGTTGTCCGGCACAGGAAAGCTCTGCAGGCTTATATCTTCCACGAACCAAGCTTCAGCCCTCCTATGTTGGGCAGGCAAGCAAGCAAAGCCATCGCAGCGACTGCACCAGCGCTCGCAACCATTTCGATTAGAGCCCGGACACTGGGCTGTACTTGAACAGCTTGCAACCGACACAGCTGCTGGAGTTTGGCATTGTTTCAGCTTTTGACCTTCACCGTACAGCCTAGAATCGTCCGGATCCCATCAACAGACGAGCTGCTCAGCGAGGGAAGCACTGGGAAAAGGAGCTTCCTTTTGTTTAGCCTCAGCCCGGCTTCTTGTTCCTCAGCGCTTGCAGTCAGGGTTTGATGACAGCTGTTGCTTGTGGTTTTTGTGGTCGGCATCAGGTGACACTTTCTTTGATCCTCTGCGCAAACCGGCCCGAATGTAGTTACCACGGAGACTGCTAGCTGTTGACTCTCTCAGACAGGTATCCGAATCAGATTTCCATCCCGTCCGGGTCAGATAGGAAATCGAAGTCTGCCAAAGATTTTGAAGGTAACCGAACATGGAGCCGGCTTCCCAGCCAACCCAGATCAGAACACGCATCTCGTCAGATCACCCGTTTCCCCGTAATCTAGCCATGGCGCACTAGTCCGCAAGCCAGATCCTCGGGCATTGCAAGAAAGGCTTCGGATGTTTTCGATTCGAACTTAATGTAGGAACTCGATGAAGAAACTCTGGGGGCATATAACCCTAAAATAGCAGGATTCATATAAGGAACCCGAATAAAGGCCCAAATTTTCTTAATCAGGTTCCTACATTAAGTCATTACCAATACTATTTGGGGGGTTCTTATACTATCGTTGTAGTATAGTGGGCCTCCAAACCCTATGCTATTTACCCACCCTGCAACCCGAAACCTTCGTGCAAATCAAGCGGTTATGGGTTCCTGCAAGATGCTTTGATCACCGCTCACACTGCCCATTGACGGCTTGGGTTTCGTACCATTCCTCGTGCGGATTGTTTCAAGCTGCGCCGTTCGAACTCGAGTTTGTTGTATGTTCTGTGCGCGAACTGTTTCAGAGGGATACCTGCAGCAGTATCGGGGCAAACTGGTGGCATTGCTGTTTCGATGGTGTGAAATGCGGTGCGTTGAGGCCTGTTCCGACTTAGGTGCCGTAGAGCCATCGATCCTGCAACCAGGGACCTGCACACGAGAACCGAGTAATTCAAGACTGGGAGATGTTCACCTAATGTAGGGGCCTTATCAAGTACCTAAACTATTTTGGGGGTTTCCTTGTTGTACTTTTAGTATTATGGGCCGCCAAAATCATATACTTACTAAGGCCTCTGTGGAGCTGTTTGACACCTGTAGTTCGAATTCAGTGAGCCCAGCGGGGAGATAGCTATCGGGAGCTGGACCTGGATGAGAGCTCCATTCTTTCAAGCGTTCAACCTCACATCTGGAGAAATCCTACTGTTGATGACCTGCATTACCTGAAGGACCCTAAACTGTGGGAATGGTGGTATTTGCCTAGGACTTATATCATCAACCGGAGGGTCACCATAGAGAACCGACCAATCGCAGGCTGGAGCCCACATTCTCTTCCCGCCAAATCCGAGGCTGGTCCGGTACATTTCGATTTCGCTAACCCACTCAATCTTTTCGGGGCCACCGGAACTCGGTGACTCAAAAGCTTCAGACTCTTGGCAACAGGCTCAGCGGGTAAGGCAGGGGTGCGCACATGTAGCCAAATCAGGGAGCAAACTGTCAGCTTGAATCAACATCAGTCATCACATGGGCCATCAAGTTTTGCTCGGGTGCGAATGAGCTTGCCTTGACTTTTCTGGCTAAAGTTCCGCAATGCTGGCTTGCATCGGTCAAACTGTAAAGAAGTCCCCGACATCGCACCAAGTCTGATTACATGTTGGCGTAGTTTCCAGCTGTTGCGGTTTGGTCATGCTGTGTTTTTATGACACTAGTCTTAGTTGTCTTGATTCATCTTCATTCTATTGCTTGCCTGCGACTCCATTCTTTTCGTCGACAGCCCCAAGCCGTCCGGAACTTCAGGGTTATCCTGCAGTATGTGCGTCGGTGTTCGCCGCTGCTTTGTGGTTAAAGCTGCCTCGACGGCAGAGCCCTGGATATTGCGAAATTCTACTGGGTTTTTGTGCCGAAAGGCTGAGCATGTGAGATTTCTTCCACTTCAGTCACGAGAAAGTGTTGATGATGATGACGGCGGGGACAGTGAAGGTAGAGATGACAGTAATCAAGATTGAAGTTTTCATGGCCACAGGCATGGAAGCGATGAGAAGCATGGACAAGACAATGGTGACCCTAAATCCTGAACCCTACTAACGGCGGAGCATGTAGAAGAGCCTTACTGGCATGGGGCGCCCGCAAGCTGACAACTCGAGGAAAACCACACGGTTTGACACCAAAGTGCCGGCTCCAACGCTTTGTCTTGAAGTACAATCCCTTCGGTAGTTTTCAACTGCAAGAACTGTTGGAAACCGAGGTTTCCCGAAATGCCTAAAGTCCCAAACCGCGGAGATGTAATCAATTTCGCAAATCATCAACGTTCCCAGAATATCAGAGCTACAGGGAACGCTGGGCCGTTGGCAAGCTGTTTAAGAAATCTAGAGGACGACTAAAGCTAGACGGGACGTAATCGGGATCGATGCTCCGCCCAGCTTCTGTGGAGATTTCCGGTATAGCCTCCGGATATTGGAATCCGTACACAAGACCATTGGCGAGGCCATCGTGTCTTCGCGTCAAGGTATGAGTTAGCTATCTACATCCGTGCAGCCGCTTCCTCCGCACATTCTGAGGTTGCGGATACAGTCAAACGAATCTTCTGACTATGTGCTGATGTTCCGCCTCCTCCCGCTGCAGTTGAAGCCGGCACAGCTGCGCAGGCGGTTCGGCGGTCGGAATCTGTTCTCCCGCTTTGCAGAAATTATGGTCAAGCAGGTTTTCCGGCCTCTCTAACGGGTGTTAGGAGTTGGTTGCTTACTGCAACAGCCTCTGACGTGAAAATGAGGACTGGTATACCTTGCGATGTGTATTGCGATCCCGTCTGGGTTTTGGAGAACATCTTGCCGCGGCAGGGCTAGAGCGGGGATTTCCGAAGTCCTCGTCGAGAAAGAACGTGTAGTCCGGGAGATGGGCGAGTACCTGAGATCAATTGAAGCCCAATGCATCTGAGTCCTTGGAAGTCTCCACTGGAGGGTAATACGAGACTACAGTCAGAGGACAAGCCATAGTTCATCAATAAGTACACAGAAAAGTTCAACATGTCTGTTTCCAGATTCTCTGCTTCTGGCCTCGGCCAATCCTTCCAGATCAAGTTTCTTCGTCGTTCCTCCCCGGTATGCTCACAGACTGGTCATTTTTCTGGCACGAGCGTTTGGGCTTAGGCACGCGACATGCGTGCAGTCAATCCTGGAGGTCTGGTGGCTCAGGGCCTGGAGGTAATTCAGATAGGAGGCCCACGACAAGCCTTTTTGGGTGGACCGCCCTGGATGTGGGAACTACGATTCCATAAACGACATGCGCAGTTAAGAAGCGACCATGGAGCTTGGAGTCGCACCGAGTGCAGGCAGCAGCTGCCAAGACACCTTGCACAAGAGCAAAGATCGAAAGTCACTTCTTCTGCCAGCTTTGGAATTCTGTGCTTGTGTTTCTGCTTTGGCAGTTTAGACACCTATCATCCCCTCCTGCCTAAGCTCTAAGCCCTGACACCACACACCCTCAAACAACGCTGCAATGCAGGGAACGGAAGCTAGCAAGTTCTAGGTCGGACTGAAGGGTTAGTGCATCAAAGCTATGAGCAACACGACGGTATCCTAAAGGCAGCTGCTGTGTGGGTCATGCGCAGAAATGACGACACCTTGTATGTCCGTGCGTAGCTTCTGTATTGACAGTTTTTGTTTCGAGTTGTTCGTGCTGCAGCCAGGATTTACCACGTGTTGGCCTGGGCAAAGGCTGGGTTCTTGTGAGGGAACTTCAGGGAAGGCACTTCGTTTACAGAAGCCCTGTCGTGGCAACAGACATTAGACTCTTAGTGGTCCGGCAAGGCCATCAGTGGCACTAACCGCCGGAATCTGCTTTTTGTTGACGTCCTTAAAGGGAGCGATCGTATTCGAGAGCTCCGTCTATAGTTAATTTGATGAAGGTGTTCGGCGTCTTACGGTGATGCGGGTGAATGCTTGTTCAGTTCGAGTCAGTGCCATAGCGCCTGGTCTGTCAGCGCCATGAACCTGTAGTCGTTGCCATCACAGCACACACATATGCGCGTACAGTGCCGCATGCACATACACCACCACATACGTACGCATGCATGCATGCATGTGTGTAATGTATGCGTGCGGTACACACACATATACACATACCTACACACATACATGTACATGTAACATATACACAGACACGCATATGTATCTACATACATACATACATATACATATACATATGTATATATATATATATATATTATTGCTACACATACCCATATACATGTATATATATATACATATATATATATATATATATATATATATTTATTTATATACATACATATTATATCATGTGTGTGTTCATATGTGCAAATATAGATCTATAGTGCACATATGGGCACACATACAGATACATGTACATACACTCATGCGCTCATCTCTTCGGGTCTCTGTCTCGCCTGTAGGATTACTTGCTTCAGATGTTGCTGTGACCTTTAAGAACAGCTTCTCCGCAACGCTTGCAGAAGAGCAGGGCATCGAGAGATTCTTGTTGTGCAAGACCCCACGCCAAACCTCAACTTTGCGAGCAGACATCGGCAAAGGCGATGGCTCAGCCAGCTCTGCCGGCCCCGACAAATCCTGCCCCGGCACCATGGCAGGCGCATGATGGTGGATGTAGAGTTGACGCGGAGTTTGTAAACTGGGATGCCCATTAAATTGTCAGCAGAACGATCAGGGACAATGGCAGACCAGTGCTGCCGACTGTACTAGTGCCAAGAACACGTGCAGCATTTGTAGAAGGATTTGTCCATTGAGAACGGGTTGACACCAGTAACAGTCGCTGCGAGCATGTTTGCATCACCAGCAAAACATGCAGTCAGAGTCACAAGAGCAAGAACCAGGAGCAACAGTCGTGATCACATAGTCGCAGTTATAGCCATCATGAATGATGTATAATAGCCTCCACAATCATTGCATCATGGGGGGGCTGTGACTTCAGAAGCTCTGAGGGGCAGGGCCTTGTTTGCGCGAGCACGGACCTCTAGCAGGGTTTCTTACCGTGAGAGCTCTTTGCGTGACATAGTACGCAGACACGTAGAAATTTCGATAGACCCTTGGGTTGATGGATGGATGGAGGGAAGGATGGATGGATTCGTAGATAGAAGTGTGCACACAAACTAGCCGGCACGAATGGATAAATAAGTCTAGTGTACGCACATATACATATATATGTGTGTAAGTATGTATGTATGTATATATATATATATGTATCTGGTGACCAACGAGGCACACAACATCACCGACCCTGACTGTGGTAGAGTCGAAACAGCTCCCTGGCTGGCCATCCTGGGAGCCACTGGTTGGGTGGAAGTGATAGGTGGGCCTGTGGTTCCCTTCTACAAATATCTTGGGTTGGACTTCATGAAGAAGCTTCGCGTGCTGCCGAAGCAGCTGCGAACTTTCGATGCTCTGAAGTTTGGAGTCTTTCTGGGGAGCAGTGTCATGCAAGAGGCTTGGGTGGATCAAGCTGACCCTCGGAGCAGGGCTGCCATCTTCTGCGACCCACCGCTCTGGGAAAAGCTGACAGAGTTGTATGGAGACTCCGAAGACTGGGAAGACAAGGATATGGGGATCGAAAGAGCGATTGAGCAGTTCAGCCACCAGGTGCGCAGGTACCTCGCCGACGTTATCCTTGAGATGATGTCGGGCCGCTATGTTCTGTGGCAAAACATATGCCTGTCGATCGGCATGAGTCTTGTCCAGTAAAACCAAGCAAACGTTTCGGCCCGGAGTATGGACAGTGCGGAGCCCCATGCTCGAGCTTGACCCCAGTGTACGGCTTTGGATTGTGTGCAACGCAGGGTCCTTGCAGCGAAGGCTGTCAGTTTTCACAATGCTTCCAAAGATGCGTCTGAGAAGGCGATCCTTGCGATAGTCGGTAGTGTCTTGAAATCGCATTCTTTTTGTTGATGAAAAGAAGTCTTCCATTGCTTCCGTGCCAGATTGGGAGACCGAGGAACTGTCCGGTCTGCACCTATCTCCTGGGCGACATGGGCTTCTCCCCGTACTCGATGGAAGGTCGGAGCCCGGACCCGCCTTGTTCCTCTCTTTGCTGGCAGATTTGACAACAAAAGTTCTATTGTCGAAGAACAAGCTGTTAGCATGGAGCGTGGCGGGACCTGATTCGAGGTTTTGGGGCAGCACCTTCAGACACACAGCTCTGCTAAGCAGGCATGCATCCGAAGGCAGAGGCAGCGTTGCTAGGCCGACCAAGGGCTAACTGTTTCTTCGGCCGTCTTGTCCGATTCAGGTGCGATCTCAGACCCCAAACTCCCAAACCCTTCAATTGGGGGGCCCCATGAGCTAGCAAGGTTCTACTACTGTAGGAAAGAGATGCCCTAAACCCCAAACGCCCCATCATGTGTTCGGCACGCAGGCTGGGCCCTGCATTCCTGGAGAGCGCGAGATTGCACCAGCTCTTATCACAGCTTCCTGCAAACATACGCAGCAGTGCAGTTGTTCTCGAAGCTTGGATGACCTTAGAATCCGAACGCGGTTGATATTCGCCTAAAATGTGTTAGTGGCACAGACTATGTCACGATATTGCCAGTTTCCCTTGTGGCAATACGCATTCAAAACGACGATGACGAACATCCCGTAACCCCATGGTACAGTCATCTCTGTTGCTATGTGGCATCACTCAGACCTTTGAGGTGTTTGAAGTTGTAGCCCTCTTACGACTCCTAGTCATCGGCCTTACCCTCGTCATCACCAATAGCACCGTCATCCTCGCCATCGTCGCATCATTCTCACCACCGTCATCACTATCATCACCAGCACCACCATAATCGTTATCACCATGTCGAGCTGTAATTGCCACATTGCCGGCATCGCCACCGTCGTTAATGTGGTATTATTTTCGTTGTCATAGCCGTTATCATTCTCATCACCACCACCACCACCACCACATCCACCAGCATTCGAAGTAGCCCTTGTTGCCGTCCGTGTCGCCATTAAAATCGTGGCAGGCGCTGAGCTTACAATATCGGACACTGCCGGAGGTTCAGCAGTGCTAGTTGTCTGCAAAGTCTACATTACGTGGGGGTCTAGCCTGGTGTTTGTGGGTTTGCCACCAAGGACATTGTGGACTCTTGGGGCGATATATCTCAAAGACCATCATCGGTTCATGGCTGCTTCGGTGTTGACTCCCATCCTGATCGTCCTGGCAGTGGGTTTGTTTTACTACCCGTTCCAACTGGGTTTGGAACTCTTGGTTGACGGCTGCCTGCTGCCGCCGCTGACAGCTGTGTCTCGTCACGAAGGTGTTCAGATTACGTGCTGTTTTTTAGGTCCGTCAAGAAAGATACTTAAACTTTAATGCCACTGCAGTTTACTCTTCACAACTGCTTGGTTGGCCGGTTGAACCAGCTTGAGGCCCTTGTCCTTGATCGATTGGTTGATCGTTTTCCAATACATGCTACCCTACAGCTGAAGCATATCATAAGTATACAGTTCAGATCCGTTCTTCGGAGCAATCAGGGCGGCTTTAGCCAAATACGCCCTCCCACCGCCCCAACTGTCGTTTCAGGCATTAATAGCATTGGCAGCACCGTACGTCGGTCATCATTAGGTAGTACGTATTATAAACTCCACTAGAACCTCCAGTGATGAGTAGCGTGCAGGTAAACCCTGAATCTACCAGGACGCTTCCGTCCTGCTGCTGCTGGTGCGGCTGGGCCTCCTGGCAGTCGGTCTCGCGACCGTGTGTACATGTATCAAACATGATATTGAAAACATGATACTCTACTCTGCCTGCAACATAAACATGCAAATGCAGAACTAGAAATCTATAGCAACCGCAGAACATTGTCGGTGGAACTACTCACATACCTCCTACAAGTATATTAATGTCGCGCACAGCATGTTCATGTAGTCGCAGCGTGACCAAAGCCAAGGATCGCAAGGTGTGGACTTCCTTCAACTTGCGCTTGGAACTCTCACGGAGGCAGCCGAAGCCCTAACCTATGCCTCCACACAGTGCAGCCTTTCGATGTCAGAATCTAGTTGATGTTGGCCTCGTGGGCTATGCTACTTTTACAAGGCCAACATGAAGCTCTTCGCCGTGATGCAGTGCATATCTGTACTCTGACCACAGCCTGTGCTTTCTCACCTCCCCCTTGATCACAGAGTGGCAGTCGTGACCAGCAGGACCTCAAGCAATCGCCGTGCCACTGCTGGGAGCCGTGTGAGACGGCAGTTTCGTAGATGCAGCCCACTAGGTCACCAGGGTCAAGTCTTTAGGACGGAGGACATTCGCGTGCATGCATGTATGTTGTGCACATGTATGTATACATGTACGTATGTATGTATGTATGCAAGTGTGCCTGTATACATATTGAGAAGCAGTCATAACTGAGTTGGTGTAGTAGGTTTTGCGGTCAGTGTCAGGAACTTTGTTGATGTTGTTAACGTATCTGCGTGTGTTGTCGGCGGTGACCTTGCGTTGGTTCTACTAGGGCCAGAGCAAAGTACTGCTGAGGCTCTTGTCCCGCTGATGAGAGTGTTGTCTCTTTTTGCACCATGGCAGTTGCCCTGCATTGTAGAGTTTGCCATCTATCCTTGGGAAGTTGCAGTTTTCCAGGAGGGATAACAGTATCACCATTGTGTTCAAAACATGTACGATGGGCTTTCAGAACTTCTGCACCACCATGATCAAATTATCATCCTCACCATTTTGGCCATGCCAATGCTCCTGAGTCCTCGCGTGTGTTGCATTGTTGTTGGCCCACGGAAGAGCCAACTTTTGACAGGCAGTTTCCTGTCTCTGGTCGCAGCACAGGGGTGGTGTTCAAGAACACCTGACTGTTGACTGTGACTACATGCAATATTTGAGAAGCCGCCGGACAGGTCGGCAGCACCGGCAGCGCAAAGTGGATCCTCCCTCACCACATATTGTCCCGGACAGTTGCCAGTGTCAGGAGCCATTACGCGCGCATGGGGTATCTGACAAGCAAAAGGCCTTGTCGGCAGCCGCACAGGTGGATTTTGATGATGTTGAACCCATCAAAGCATCCCAACGCCTATCCCAAAGCCTGCGATCCAGCAACGGCTCGAGAAGACATGCAGTGCATCAGAACCCATCCAGGCAGAATGGACAGGGGCCGGCCATCGGTACTCGGTCGGCCCTTGTGTTCAGTTCCTTTCATGAGTGAGAGTTTGTGCGACATCAGCGAAAATGGGACGAGTCGTTTGCGGGAGGTGCTTGATCGATCTCGTTGGAAGCCAAGGCCTTGAAAGGAGCTCGTGAAGCGACGAAGATGTACACTGGCATGGTTGTTATGATGTCATTGATCCTCAGGTAACGTGGATGTTGCAGTCATCGATTTGTTTCACCTGTTTTCCAGGGTACCTAAAGCTGTCGCTCTGGACGGCTCCACACTTGAACTCGTCACACTTGAACTCGTCGTGATATCCTTGATGATCCAGTCACATGGCTGGTCACATGCCCACAATACGTCCGTCACATGTGACGTGAGGAGTATCTGTAAGAATCTGTGGAAGGCACGCATGATCTTATTCGCCCGAAGACCTTTCTGCTTCAGGAACACTCTCACTGAACGCCCTAAAGCGTTTCCAGACCGTGATCACCGGCATTGCCCCGTAGACTGTGACAGTATGCATAGTAGGAGTACCCTGTTTGTCGCTTCTTCTTGGAAGTAAGCGTCAGTGACATCCGGAGACTTCAATTGGACACCTCTTGAGGCTGCAGACGAGAATACTAGGTTCTGCGCTTCTGTGATCCCGCGCGCTTTCATGGCCTGCCTACAGTCTTTCCGAGTGTCGGCCTCAGCCTGTAGACGGATTGAGCAGTCTACATGGGGTTGTTGCCAGTGGATGAAGATCACGAAAGCTAGCGCAGCTATGCTGTCGTTTCTACTAATTACGTTAGTAGTGTGGGTAGGAACCCTCGCCGAAGTGCTTTTCGCATGAAGTTGCAATCTTTTGGGCCCGCCCAACCCCACACGCAACACCAACGGCACCCATGCGAAAGGCACTTCGAGTGCAGGAAATGCTGTAAAAACCGATGCAAACGGCATGTCGGTTTTCCGCGTTTACGTCATGTCGGAGGCAACAACAACAGCAGCAACAACAACAACAACGACAGCAGCGACAACAACAACAACATTTCATTCACACGCAGCGGGAGGATACTGTCTGAGGTGAAACTTGACGTCCACGCTTTGCGAGGGGTCGACCTGCTGCTCTGCTTGCTACTTGCGCGGTCACTTCATGACGAGCCGTGCCTTAACACAGCACTCGCACACGCTCCGCCCCTCAAGGCTGCAAGCAATGAAGTAGGAATCGGATGTGTCGTCAGTGACTCGAGCTGCAAACTCTGGCACTAATGAGCGAGTTAACTGGCTGATTTGCAATGTATCGCTGACTGATTGGCGACGTCCATTTTGCACACTGCTGTCTCGCAAGAATGTCTAGCCTCGCTGTGAAGGCTCGGTACGAACCACTAGCTCTATGTTATAGTAGAGGCGGTGAGGCAATGAAACACTCAGTAAAGGCAGGCCAGGCGCCGCTTCCAGCCCGTTGTTGCCATTTGTAGATGGCGGAGCAACTCCTGCCGGACCTGTGCTGGTGACATGAAGCTCTCCTGTCCCTGGATGGGATATCGTTGAGGTCACAGCCTTTGGCGGTGGTCCCAGGGGAGAAACTCCTCCCGGGACTCCACCTTTCGCTGGCACTCCTGGTGCCTTAACTGGTCCCGGTGTCCGATCTGTGCTAGAACCACTTCCTGACAGGTTAACAGGCATCGGAGGCGGCGGGCCCTTAGGCCCTGCTGCTTTGGGGGCTGCTGTGGGGGCTGCTGTGTCTTCGGAGTCAGACTCCCGAATGGAGTCACTAGCTGGCGGCGACCTGGATATATGGGGACGACGACGCACTGGTGGAGGGGTTCGAGAGGTCGCTCTGTTGCCACTTTTCTTCGGTGTTTCAGGCATGGCTTCTACACTCAAGACAGCTGGTGAGTTGAGCCTGTACGAGAAGGCAAGTGGAGCTTCCAGAAAACTTTTGGCTGACAACTCACTTGCAGATCCGGGCCCACGACTTCGCACGGAGCTTCTCATGCAACCTCGGGGTATACTTGCTGTCTGGTGATGAAATTGAAGTGACCGTCAGCCTCATAACACAGATTTTTGAATGAGCAGCTGCATTATCGGTGTGGGGAGGGACTCCACCTTTAGGTGAGAGTCCTCACGATCAGAGCGGCCTGTTGTCGCCTCCGTACTTAGTACCTGATTTCAGGCTCTGGTAGTACTCTATGACAGAAGGGGGCACTTCAGAGGGGGTGAGAATGACGCCGTTCTTGCTACGGAAAAATTGCACCCCTACCTGCATGGCTCTGCGTGGATCGACCGCCACCAGCATCGACGAGCTATCTCTGAATCCAGAAACACCAGGTCTCCCATAGTCCCGATCCGAGACGAAATGAACATGCTGTCGTCCCTCTCTGCCACGTCCACCTTTGCCGCGACCCTTGGAAATCTTGTTCTGAGGCAAAAGACCTCGTTGGCGTATGGAGTCATACAAGGACCAGAATGTGCCATGATACAGCATTCTGGGGAGCATCTCCTCCGTGAGTTCCTCCAACACTTCGTTGGAGTCCACATCAGAGCGAGAATGTCCTTGCAGAGCCCTGATGTACTTTTGGCCCTGGCAATCGCCCAGCTCGTACCTGCCTTTTGCGTTACTCCGAACGACCTCCAGGAGGTCGCCTGCCGTGGCGTGCTGGGCCTGCACTCTTGGCCATCTCAGGACGTCCTCTAATTTGGCCCAGCCAGCTGAAGTGACGCTGAGGTAGGGTTTATGTCCGTGCCGGAGCGAAGCTGCTAGAGCCTTCGAGACTTCGAACGAGAAGTTGCTCTCCGGCTTCGTAGAGGCAGTGCAATAGTCCCCTAGATCGCCTGGTTGGCCTTCCCAGGCCACTATAGTGGAGCTCCGTGGCGTTGTTGAGCTGTGATCAATCTCTGGCGCCATGGTCGGGGGAGAAACTCCACCCTGTGAGCTGGACGCCTGTTCACTAACCGGAAGGGGAGCAACTCCTCCTTCCTTGGCTCCACTTGACGAGGCTTCGCCAGGCAGCTCGTATCCCAGCGCCGAAAAGGATTCCCGAGCTTGTCTCAGTGGTATCTCCAACAAGCCACTCCACTCTCGGAGGTACTCACCTAAGGTGAGTGTCTCCTTGGTTGATATTTGCAGTAGCAGCGCTCGGATTTTGACTGCATCATAGGAGTATATCAGTTGGTTTGTTTTCTTACCCTTTTTTTGCGATCCAGAGTGCGCAGCCTCCACCTCAAACATGGGCCGCACGAATATGTGCCGAGGTCCTATCCTCACCAGACAACTGTAGCCGGCAGCAAGATGCCTGTTTGACATCCTGTGAAGATACACGCCTGGTCGTGCCTCGAAGCTTCGCGTGCCGGAGAGGTCAGGTGTCGAAGGAAGTAGCCTGCCTGTGGCAAGTATCCCATGCAAACATTCCAGGTGTGTACCGTGGAATGCAACCTCGCTGTCCCCTGCAGGAAGAATGTTCGGTGAAGAATACTCAAAACGAAACCACCCATTCTCTTCAGCTGTGGGATATCCCAGCTTAGGATGCAAAGGCTCATTGGCAAGTCCCCGGCGGGAGGCCAGGAAGGTCTCCAGGAGAGCATTGGCTACCTCCGGGGAGGGTCGTTCCACCTGATTGAGACCATCTCGCAGCTGCTGAGTGACTGTCACCATAATTCGGTGATTGTTCAGCTCAGTGATGTTCCCATCACAGTCTGACATCAGACTGGGAAAGGGGGTATAACCAGCTGACTGAAGAACTTTGATCGCAGCTTCCGTGATGGGGTCCCCAGAGGGAGGATCTCCGCTCTTGGCTTTTGCTGCTGGGGGAGTATCTCCACCCTCGCCTTGCCCTGTACTTCTTTTCTTGGAAGGAGGAGGAGGGGGAGTGACTCCACCCTTTCCGCTTCCCAGCTCTTCCTGTCCACCAGTACCTTTAGAGGCTCCTTTATATGCAGGATAGCTTTCGCCGTGAGCACGAGCGGAGCGCCTCCACTGGCGCAGGAAATTGCGATACGTGACATGCGGAAGTTGTTCACGTATCCGTCGCTGACAGAATTCCTCGTACTCCGCTTGAAACGAGGGATCCTGTGTTGACTCAGGTCTGGACATGGTGCTGAGTCTTGAGAGAAAGCTGCGGCTGTTGG